TCGGATATAACTGTTCAGCACAGTTCGAATTTCCACCGTTTCTCTTTCAAGCAAAAGTGGGTTCTTCGCGATAGCAAAAAGCAAGTGTTAATCTCACTACAACAAAATTGCATCACGCCCCCCGTGGGACTCGAACCCACGACCCTCAGATTAAAAGTCTGATGCTCTACCGACTGAGCTAGGGAGGCTTCGTTTGCCAGACTTAAGAAGTTTGGATTCAATGTTAGTAAATATTCTACAGCAGATGCGCAAAACTCATATTGTTGGGCCCTGTCTGTGTGCATGTGCGTAATGCGTTTTATCGCGCCTTTTCAACTCGGGGGCCACTAAAGTTAGGAAGCTGGATTTTTAGGAGAGTGCCCCTGCCCATGCGAGACCCTGTAAATTATATTCAACATTTACGTACCCTCAGATCTCAAATAGAGAAGCGTGAATGTTCCGGAGCCAAAATTATTGACTGGGTAGGTAGAACACCTAGGAATCTGAAATTTTAGGGCAATATTTCAAGCCAATATGCTAAGAGCTTTAACTCGCAGTTGTGTCTCAGTTCATATACGAACACCTGGAACTTTTTGCGCAAGATTTTTAGCCACGGAACTGGCAAGATGGAATGGTGAACGTTTATTATGATACTTCCTCTAAGAGTACAGCTCTGAAAATTAAAATTTTATCTTCATATACGCTTATTTCTCGGGAACGGATAAATGGAATTTTACATGCGGGATTAGACAAAATTATTGGAAGAAATTTCCTACCCAAGCGTGAACCAGCAAATTCAAATTTAGCTTTCTTGAACACCTACGCGCATGGCCACATGAGTTTTTACATTGTGGTGCATACCAAATTGTAAGGCAGTGAATATCCCTAACAACAAACGCTCGCTAGATAGGACTCTGCAAAACGCGACTTCGTACCGGCTACCCTGATGAATGGCGCTATTTATTATGAAGTGAGTCACTAGGAGAAACTAGGAGAATCTGACAAAACAACAAAGAATTCCAACACCTACTGGTGTGGGAGATGTATGAAAGCCTGTTTTCCCGCTATGTATTTCTTTCGTTTATAACTGAATATGATATGCTTCTGTTGGATCCTCGGATGTTTTTACTGTGGCCATGTGTGTCTTTCTGATCGAGTAAACTTAATCCAAGAACTAAAACTTGGAAAGAGCATAGCCTTTTTCAAAGTAAGAAACCCGAAATTAAGTTTTTGATTTCTTAACATACGTCCTCTTTCGTCTTCTTCCTTCGTGATATAGTAGCAAAGTCCAACATCATGTTTTAAGAATCTTTTCATCAATCATTTTCGATGTGGATAAATGCCCGCAGTAACTAATTGTCCATGTCTGGTCGGTGGGAGAATGAAGGGAATGGCTGAAATGGCGAAGCTTTTAGGTGAATTTGCCAATGCTTCCATTTTTTGCGATTTTCCGGGAGAAACAGACTGTGGAAAGATTAAACTCGGAAAAGCCTCGCACAGTCAAAAAGATTCGTCAAAAATTATTTGATCAGT